CATTCTTTTTTTTTTTTTTTTTTTTTTTTTTTTTATTACAGTTTTTCGGGAGCTCCTTTGACTACTCCCCACAAGGCTCCTCCCATACTGACCATAACCAGGAAGGGAACAAACAGGAGGGGCTGCTTTATCCTGCACAGGGACGTGTTTCCCATCACTCCCTTTTTGTGATATTAAAATCTCAGCAACCCTGCCTCTGCTGTGGTTCTCTCTGGAGGCCCGGTCTGCACCTCAGTTTTCCTGGGCCTCCGCGGGAGCTGGGTAAAGCAAAATCTGTGGGTTCTGTCCCAGCAGTTTTCCCCTTCAGCGGTCCGGCTCCTCTCCCTGAGCTGCCACTGCTGTGCAAGACCGAGAGGCTCGTCCCACTCGACATGCGGTGCAAGCTGGATGCCTTTGAAGAGAAGGAGCTGATATCCCCCAGGTCCCCTGAGGAACCCCCCGTCTGTGAAGGGGACACTTCGGTTTCACACTCCTGACACTCTACAATTGGCTCTTCAGTCTCCTGCAAGAAGAAACAGATAAAGCTAAGAGAGATCACATTAACATGTTAAAGTGATGGCTGGAAAATTCTAGAAATGACAAGAAAATTTCAACTCAGAAAGATGGAATTTTCTAGAACAATGGTAACATTCTTTTTTTTTTTTTTTTTTTTTTTGCAGAACCAGGGATTGAACTCAGACCCTTACGCTTGCCAGGCAAGCCCTTATTCTACTAAGCCATCTCCCTGGCCCCCCTTACTTTGAATAGGTGTAAAAGTGCAAAAGCCCTGCAATCTCAAATACTTCAGAAGCTGACACAGGCAGACTGCAAGTCTGAGGTCAGAGTGAACTGACCCCACCTCAAAAAAAAATAAAAGATCAGGCTTACAGGGAGATAGCTTAGTGATACGAGTGCCTGCCTCCCAAGTGCAAGGTCCTGACTTCAATCTCCAGTATAAAAATAAATGAATAAATAAATAAATTAAAGATCAAAATGTCAAAATCCACTAACCTGAACACTTAAGATCCATTCATTCTACTGGGGATATACAATACCTCAATTAAAAAGTAAAGCAGTGAAAGATTGAGAAGAGGTTAAATTATCTTTAACCACACCAAGCTAGGTTAAATTATCTTTCCCTGGGGCAACTTCACAACCTTTGGCTGTCAGCAGGGCCTCTAACCCAGAAGACACCCTGGCTAAGAGAAGCAGGTAGGTTCAAAGGGAAAAGGAGTGCTTAGGAACCCTCTAGGCGCTTCCCTAACAGTGGGCAGCACTGCATGTTTTATGATATTAGCTACTTTATATTACCTTTCAATACATCAAGAAAATACAAAATCATAGCAAAAACAAACTAAAAATGTTATTGCTATTTGAAAGGCTGAAGACAGAGAGGTAATAAAGTATAACAGTTCAGCATGTATAGACACAAAATATCAAACTGGCTTCCTCTCACATGCCCCACTTCGACTGGCTGTAGCTGCCTGGAGCTCAGCTTTAAGAAGCTGCCAGAAAAAAAAAAAAAGGAATTAATAAAAAAAATTTAAAAATAAAAAATAATTTTTTTAAAAAAGCAGCAGCCATCAGAGCCAGATGTGGTGGACCAGGAATTTAACCCTAGTGCCTGGGAGGCTAAGGCAAGAGGATCACAGCATATTCAAAAGATCACTGCAAAGTCAAGGTCAGCCTGGGCTACAAAACAAGTTCAGGACCAGCCTAAACTACATAACATAAGCCCATCTCAAAAAAACAAAAAGAAGTTGTCAGAGGCAAAAACCCTAGGCTTAGTGTGGAAAATTTTAGAGACAACCAGCAAACAGATGAAACTGCGACACATCCCCAAATCCATGATGCTGTCTCTATTTGTTTATCTTCAAAGAATCCTAGATCCCCAAGTAGTTCTTTAGTGAACCCTGATTTTTTCCAACCAAGTCTCCTCGAGTGCTATGTACAGAACCTCTGAGGCTCCCCATCTCCTACTGCTATCAAACTATTATGCTCTTACACTGTGCTCTTACCTTCCTTTGTTGATACCCACTAACAACCCTTAATCACTCTTATGCCTGAAGAACTTAATCCCCAGTTCATACCCTCCCTGCTGTCCCCACCCTGCTTCTACCAGCATGGCCTATGGCTGACTCGAGGTGCTTCGTTCAGCAGTCTCGTAGTCTCTTGAACTAATTATCAACAAGATTCTCCCTTACACGACTTCAGCCACAACTCCAGTCACTGCCCCTCCAAAGTATCCATCCTAAGTGTGCCACGCTCCAATCACCTTCATCACCCAGTTAGCAGCTCTGAATGGATCTAAGCGCACAAGTGGCAGGATCACGTGACTGAAGCAGGCATGACGGTTCCAGACTTTCAGTCAACTTCCTCTACATGAGTAGGGCCCTGAGGCTGGGTCTCAGTTGGAAAGTAGACCCAAACAGCGAGAACATGCCCAGCTGCCTATGCAGCAGTCCAGGAGCCATGGCAGCTACTCTTAACCTAAGTCAGCCTGGTGAGGTGTTTTCTTTTCTTTTTTCCAGAATCAGGGATTGAACTCAGACCCTTGCGCTTGCCAGGGAAGTGCTTATTCCAGTGAGCCATCTCCCCAGACGAGGTCTCTTCAATGTGTCTGTTTACTCACGTTTCTGTGTTTCCCATATAGGCCACAGGACAACAGAAATCTTAATCATCTCTTTCTTTTTCTCTGGATCTATTCTCAAAATCTAGCATAGTACACAATGCTAGATTTCACAAGGAGGTCCTCTGCTAGACCTGATGGCACAGACCTGTAACCCCAATACTCTAGGAGACTGAAGCAGGAGAATCAAAAATTCAAGCCCAGCCTGGGAAACTTGGTAAGACTCTTATAGGACTCAGAAAACAAGGAATGGAGAAGTAGCTCAGTACAAAGGCCTTGAGCTCAATTTCCAGTACTGGAGGAAGAAATGAGACCCTCAATAAATTTTTATTGAACAAATATAGGAATTTCTCTCTCAAACCAGTATCTTATTTTCTCTATCTCAGTAGCTGATACCAATCACCCATTATATGGCCTGCTTCTGCCTAGGAATCATTAGATTCCTTCCCTCTCCCTAAAACCTTACATTTAGGAATTTACCAGGGTCTCTCAATTTATATATATATATATATATTTCCCACACACACACAAAATTTTTTCATGAAGGGGCTGAGGAGATGGCTCAGTAGAGTAAGTGCTTCCCTTGCAAGCACAAGGACCTGAGTTCAATCTCCAGTTCCTCCCCCCACCCACTGCCAAAAAAAAAATTTCATGAAGGAAAATTCCTTTTCAACAAAGGCCATAATTTTCTAAAATTACAACAAAATGAAAAAAATTCCAGGGCTGGTGAGATGGCTCAGTGGTCTAAAGCACCTATTTAGAACAAGCTTAGCAAAGCACAGGGACCGCGGTTCAATCCCCCAGCACCACATGCCAGCCAGCCCTGCCCCCTGGTGGGCTGAGCTGGCCACACACACACACACACACATACACACACACACACACACACACATAAATAAATAAAATTAAAAAGAAAAAAATTCCACAACAAAAATTAAAATATTAAAGAATGAAGATAAATCAATACTTCAAAAAATATTTCCGAGATTTGTTATATAATGAAAAAAGACAATTTTTCAAACATCAAATATTATCTTTTTTTTGTTTTTGTTTTTTTATTACGGAACTGGGGATTGAAGTCAGGCCCTTGCGCTTGCCAGGCAGACACTTATTCTACTGAGCTATCTCCCTGGCCGCTCAAATATTATCTAATGGGAAAGCCAGAAGGCCTATTATTAAACAAAAGTAATAGGTTCACTTAACATAGCAATCAATCGTTTCTCGGTCCTTTGGTTAAGATCAAGTGTAGTAACATAACTATCAATCAAGAGTTTAATTCTTCCTGAGCACAACCTCCTCCATGGCAGAATTTCAGAAAAGTGTCTGGATCAAGGAGATGAAAAAAAAGACAATAGTTGGGCCTCTTCTCCATGAGTAAAATGAGCTTGTTCCTCATTAGTATAGTGGTGAGTATCCCCACCTGTCAATGAGTAAAATGGCCCCAGATCTGAACATAGGTGCAACAAAGTTTCCAGATCTTCAACTCCAGAAAGTAATTCAAAACAAAGTCAGCATATGATGCTAATAACAATAGTCAGTGGCTAGGGGATACCTCAGTGGCATAAGCCCCTGCCTGGTAAGCTCAAGGTCCTGAGTTTAATCCCTGATACCAAAAAAAAAGGAAAAAAAAATCCAAACAATAATCGGTAAATACCAGTAATATACTGACACTGGAAATAAGCCCATGACAGATCCCACTGAAAAAATAAAAGCCAACTCTTACCAACAGGCCCTCCACCCATGGATGGGTTCAGAGAAGAATACAATGTGTAGATATGAAAATACTAAGAGAAGCAATGAGAAAATATACAAGTAGCAGCTCTAAACTTCATTTCCAGAGCCAGGCCTGGAGGCTTATGCCTGTAATCCCAGTATTTAGGAGGTTGAAGCAGGAGGATCACTGCAAGCTTGAGGCCAGCCTGGGCTATAAAGTGAGCTAAAGGTCAACCTGAAATTCATAGTGAGACCCCGCCTCAAAAATAAAAAAACAACAACAAATAAAACTTCATTTCCATTTCTATGGATTTAAAATATATAAAAATTTTATATGAGAAATTTACAGGAAATCATCAATCTGTTTTCTGCAGAAAATGAACACAAGGGGGCCGGCAAGATAGATCAGCAGACTAAGTGCCTGCTTAGGCAAGGACAGGGACCAGAGTTCAATCCCAGGCACCACATGCTGTGCCAGCCCCACCCTGGGTGTGCTGAGTCCAGGAGTATTGGCACACATCTATAATCCCAGTGCTGAGGAGGCTGAAAACAGGAGGATCACTACAAGTTTGAGCTGCGTAGTGAGACACTATATAAAATACAGAAAGAAAGAAAAAGAAAGAGAGAGAGAGAGAGAGAGAGAGAGAGAGAGAGAGAGAGACAGAGACAGAGACAGAGAGAAAGAGAGAAAGAGAGAAAGAAAATGAACACAAGGGCCAGGCATGGTTGTACACGCCTGTAATCCTAGCATTTGGGAGGTGGAGGCAGCAGGATCATAGTGAGTTCCAGGCCAGCCTGGGCTACAAAGTTAATTCAAGGCCAGCCTAAATTGCATAGTGAAACCCTGTCTCAAAAAGGCAAAAACATAAAAGAAAGAAGAAAATGAACAGAAGACGATTGACCAAAGGTTGAACAACAGGCCCATGGCCAGAGAAAACACAATATAGAACTATTCCTTTCTAACCCTGTTCTTACATCTTGTATATTTTCTTTAAAAAAAAAAGTGTGTGTGTGTGTGTGTGTGTGTGTGTGTGTGTGTGTGTATGTGTGTGTAACTAGAACAAGAAAGGAGGTGAGGGACAAAAAGCCAAGCTGACTTTTGCCACACAGACCCACGGCGTTACCTCGGTGACTTTCCTCTCCACTTCTGTTCCATCCACATAGTATACATCTGTGATGACACGGGTGACAAGTGTGCGCACTTCACGGATTGTTCTCATGTGGCGATGCAAGACGTGGCCGTGTGGAGGCTGAGGCATATCAAACTCTTCTTCTCCCTATGAGAGACAGGCAGAGCGCAAGGTCTCACCACCAACTGACAGAATCACAAGTCAGCTTTTCCATGAGCACTGTGCAGTGTGATCGATGTTCTCTCCCCTCTGACGTCTACTCCCCTATGGCTAACGCTTCCACAGCCAGGGGCTGGGCAGAAGCTGTCAGCAGAAGCAGCGGTGAAAGGACCCAGGACTGCCCAAAGCAAGATCCCAGCACCTCGCTTATACTAGGAAAGTTTAGGTGACTTTGGAAAGCTGAGAGCACATTACTTTTAGATGGTGACCCTAATGTTGATGATGATTTGTCAAGTAATAAGTATGATTTTGTTTCAGCAGTTCATTCTTTATCCCTTTACATAGAAATAGAATGACACTGGGCTGGCGAAATAGCTCAGCAGACTTTAGCACCTGCTTAGACAAGTGCAGGGACCAGGGTTTGATCCCTGACACCACATGCTGCACTGGCCCTGCCCCCTGGCATGCTGAGCCAGCCACTGAGTCTGGTCATGGTAGTGCTCTCCTATAGCTCTCCTGTAATCCCAGGGCTGGGAGGCTAAAAACAGGAGGATCACTATGAGTCCAAGCTGCATAGTGAAGGCATGTAACAAAAACATAAAAAAAAAAAAAAAAGAAAGAAATAGAATGACATGCCTACAAATCTCAGTGCAATCTGTTCTGCTTGCATTGAAAGTGAAAACCACAGCTTATGTAAGGAACAAAGTGTAGATGTTTCTACTGGCACGAAATAGGAAATATTTAATCTGTTCCGAAGAACATAAAGATGACAGCTAAAGAGTTAAGCTAATACAAAGAAACAGAAAACATTAGAAAAGTAAGACTTTCTATCTAGTTGTACCATAAAGAATAATCAGGGCCAGACAGGGTGGTGCACACCTATAATCCCAGCACCTTAGGCTGAGGCAAGAGAACCATTGCAAGTTCAAGGCCAGCCTGAACTATTTGGCAAGACCCTGGCCTCAAAAAAAAAAAAAAAAAAAAAGCGTACTTCCCTTACTAGCAGACATGGTTCTGCCCATGAAGTGAAAATTTAAGGAATATCCATCCAAGCCCCACTGTACCACGAAAGAGAAAGCACTGAAGTTTAGAGGACACCATACAGCCATTCTCATTTCCCAACCATTCCTCAAAAGATAGCACACCAATTCCTATACATCATCTGCAATTTTTTTAAATTGTCACAAAATCGGGCTGGCCAAATAGCTCAGAGGAGTAAAGCACTTGCTTAGGCAGACATAGGGACTGGGGTTTGATCCCCAGCCTGCCATGTCAGCCCCACCCCCAGGGCATACCAAGACTGGGCGTGGTGGCATGCTCCTGTAATCCCAGTGCTTGGGAGGCTGAAAACAAAAGGATCACTACAAGTCTGATCTGTGTAGTTAGACCCTGTAGACCCTGTACTAAATACACACACACACACACACAGAGCACAAATTGCCAGAAAAACTTTGGAGCCTCAGTCCTAGCTAGGATGGCCAGCCAGACAGCTCAGTGGATTAAAGTGCCCTGCCCAGGCAGACACAGGAGCCATGGGTTCAATCCTCAGTCTGCCATGCTGTCCTGGGCCCCAGGGCGCACTGAGATGGTGAATGAGGCAGTGGCCTGCTTTAATCCCAATACCTGGAAGGCTAAAAAACAGGAGGATCACTACAAGTCCGATCTGTGTAGTGAGACCCTGTAGACCCTGTACGAAATACATTAAATAAAAAATAATAGTCACAAAATCCACATGACAGAAAATCAACCACTCCCAAACCAACAGTTCTGTGGCACTGTAGCCATCGTTATAGTAACTATAATAACAATCAATAGGCAGCAGCCACAGCCAAGTTACTTAGGCCCTGACGGTGCCTGAGCCAGCGCTGAGTACTCCACTCGCCTCATCCCACTGTGCTCTCCAGCACCCTGGTGAAGCGGGGCTGGGGCCAAAACCTTGGGCTCCACAGCTCCTCTCATCCCAGTGATGAACAGAGACTAAGTCCTCACTTTATAGACAGCAGATAGAGGAGGCAAAAGAAAATCAGGTGTCTTCCATGTGGTTGCTGAATGTGGCATCAAATTTAACTCTCTACAAAGGCAAAGACATCAAGTTGGTAGGTGGCAGAACACAAATACTTTAAAAATGAAAATAAACAGAAGCAGAATGGGGTCTAACCCTGAAGAATTTTGAATCTGCGCTCTTAGTACTCTGGGACATTTGTTATCAAAGGCACACAGTCATAAGATCGTAGCTCCTGAGAAAGCACAGAAAGAAGCACAAATAGACCATGATTTAAAAACAGAAGAGCAACAGAGCATAGGGAAAAGAACATGGATGCTGAAGACTGATATACTGAGCTCAGAAGCCAGTTCTGCCACCTCCTGATGGCAAACCCTTGGGCAAGTTATTTAACTTTTCGGCCTCATGTTTTTACATCTGTGAAAGGGGAGTAGCAATCCCAACCTCACAGGGTGGGCTGTCTCAAGCACAGTGACAACGCAGCACACATGTCCAACAGATAAGAAACACATTCTACAAATCAACTTGGAAAAGCAGAACGAGAGTACTCATAAGAAGCACTTCTAGGCAGATAGCGAGTGAAAAGGCAGTTGTCTCTCGCATGGATCCCAATGCCAGCTGATGCCATGCTGTGAACTTCCACTTATTTGTCTTTTTGAGACAGTCTCGCTTTGCAGTTCCTTGAGCTCACTTTGTAGCCCGGGCTGGCCTCGAACTCACATGATCCTCCTGCCTCAGCCTCCCCAGTGCTGGGATTACAGGCATGTGCCACCACACCTGGCTTAAGTTCCGCTTATTTATTAACACATCCTGGTCCCCGCTGTCCCTTCCCCTGACCTACCTGCTTTCCTCCACAGTAGCCATACTTCCCTACTCTGTTCCTGGAGTTACTCATTCTCTGGCCTCACTGTCATCAGCTCCCATCCCTGTCTCCAGTCTTAGCTGCTCTTCTGCATCCCCTGAGGCCTTGGGCCTCTCCCCATCTCTCTCTACTTCTGTGCTGTCCTTCACATTTCTCCTTTGCTTTCCACTGCCTGGGATCCCAGGAGCAGTGGGAAAATAGACGGAGGGGAGGGCTGATTACCACCCCCAGAAAGGACAAGAAATCGGGGCAAAAGAGACCCAGTATGGCAGACTAACAGGACCATATCCCTGGCTTTCTTTCCTAGTGAAAACCCATTTAACAACTCTACCATTACCCTATTATCTCTAAAAGACTGTGAATTGTGTCACCATCATTTTTATTCTTTTACTCTATCTCTAGCCTGGATAAGCGGCTTTTATCTTCCAACCTCTGTTCTGCACAAAACTCTCAACAGTTGGCACTCAGTAGAAGAGCTGCAATTTAAAGTTTCTGAAGCACTCAGCACGTTCTCACCTGGCTGTGGAGCGACTCTGTGTCATCCGCAGGGGCACCAACAGGCTTCTCCTCACCGCCCCTCTCAGTCTGCACTGTGGCATCTTGCTTCCCCGAGCTCTGGTCCACTGTGCTAGTGCCCTGCTCACACACATTCTTGACAGTCTGGGTTGCTGCAGAAACAGTTTCTGGGACCCAGAGGGAACGCTCCAGGGTCTGGATTCCAATGTTGTTCTGGATGGGCCTTTCAACCAAGGCCTTGCTGGGCTTTTCCTGGTGGGCGTCCTGTTCTTCTTGCTGGTCTTCCTGTGCATCTGTCTCCATGGCTTCTCCTTGTGGGCTGCACGGCCCTTGTGAGGATGTCTGCTGAGAGGCAGGAGATGTGGGATCCTTGAGGAGACTAACCATCTTCACTGGCTGTTCACTCTCCCTAATGCTTTGATCGCCCTCTAATTTTGCTTTCTTCTCTTCTTCTTGAGTACTTGGAAAATGAAGCAAGTTCCCCCTGAAAGTGAAATACATGTTATGGTTTCAATATGGTTTATCCCCTCTGAAGCTCGTGCGCATGGGCGGAGCCTTGGAAGTAAGCAGGAGTACACGTGCTCACCAGGGCAGCAGCCCCGGCGTGAACGTCAGTGCCTCCCAACGAAGACCAGAGCCAACACACGTTCGTTCCTGTGCTCTCCACCCAGGACTCTGCTGGTGAGAAGGCCACAGCCTTAGGTGTGTGTGTGGCTTCCGAACAGAACTGTGCACCAAAATAAACCTCTCTTCTTCCCAGTTTACCTGGTCTGTGGTCCTGTGTTACTAGCAATAGAAATTGGACCAAGTAGACTAAAACAAGAGGAAAGGGGGTGCATAAAATAGGGACAAAGGGGAACTGTATTTTGACAACATTAGTGACAAAGAACTCAAAATGACTAAGCACATCACTTTGGGGGACGCTCATAATGTTCACTCCCATAAAAAAAAATAAATAAATAATGGCAGCAGGACCATTCCTCCGTGAGGGTAAGACAGTCATCACACTTCTTCCTAGCGTTAGCTATGAACTCCGAAATCTGACACAGGAAATTAAGTAAACTCTACGATGAAAGCGGTCAGTAAAGTCACAGGCAATGAAAGGCACCTTACAGATCTACTTTGAAAAAGATCAGTTAGGTCATGAGGACTCACTTAGCCTCATGAATGGTATTAACAGTCCTTAATTGGCCTCTAGCATTATTTATAGCATTATATTGGTTAGTCTGTCCCCAGCTAACCAATGACTTTAGAAAAGAACTCTAATCTTGAAAAAGATCAGATGCGATTCTGGTTTTGTTAACAGTATGAGTGTGTCTACGGTCCTACACTTCGGCATAACTTGGTTCCTTAAACACATACTCAAGACAACCCACTTCTCATTGGTTCCATTGGGCATCAGTAATTTTTTTACTTTTATTTATTTGTGTGTGTGTGTGTGGCCAGCTCAGCCCACCAGGGGGCGGGGCTGGCTGGCATGTGGTGCTGGGGGATTGAACCGTGGTCCCTGTGCTTTGCTAAGCTTGTTCTAAGTAGGTGCTTTAGACCACTGAGCCATCTCACCAGCCCCGGGCATCAGTAATTTATCTATCACACAAGCACTTGATGAATGTCTGCTATGAACCAGTACCATGGTTTCTGAGGTGCCCAGGTTTTAAAGTCCTTAATTCTCTAGAGTGAAAAGGTAGGCTTCCTGAGTTGCACTGTCCAAATCAGCAGCCACTGGCCATATGGGACTGCTGACCACATGATATACGGGTCATGCATCCTGAGACATACTATAAGCTTAAAATGCACAGTACATTTCAAAGACTTAATATAAAAAATATATTTCACTAATATCTTCTTACGCTAACTACATGTCACTATAACAATGTTTCAGACACTGATTAAAATATCTTATTAGGGAAGAAAATCCTTTTAAAGACCTAGGCTAGCTCCAAATTAGCAAGTTACACAGAAGTTCTTCATACTCATCTTTACACTTCAAACACCTAACAAGGAGCTTACTATGAAAATAGGTGACATACTAATAATCACATACTCTGAAAAGAGCAAATATTCTCCAAATCAAAAACTGAAAAAATCTACTCAGATTAAATAAACACAAGCTATATGTAAATAGCCAGAACAAACATAAAAGAAAACCATTCTGACCTGAGTTTTCTAGGCCCACCTATCTACAGTACTGTCTGAGTTTTGAGTGTCACAGTTTACAAGACACCAAATGTGATACATCCTGAAAATGACATTAAAGAGGACCAGCTTCACCTATTGCTTCACATACAGTCAGAGAAGAAGCGTGCCTGGGAAGAACCCCCAGCCTCGTCCTCAGCAGTGCCCCTGCCCAGGCAAAAGAGAAGCATTAAGGGCTCGTCAAAGTTTTCAATTTGCTCTGGTTCCTTTTTTTTTTTCTGAGGTAACAGGGATTGAACTTAAGACCCTGCACTTGTCAGGCAAGTGCTTATTCTACTGAGCTATCTCCCCAGCCCTTGCTCTGGTTCTTGATGAGGAAGAGAAAAGAAGTTCTGGAGGTTTCCATGTTTGGCTCAGTTCATCAGAAAAGGAAACTGAAGAAGGATTTGGAATATAAAGTTCTAGCTAGGTCTCTCAGGAACCTCAGCTGTCCAGAGCCACGCTCCAATGAAGAAAGGCAAGAACACGATGACCACGAAACAATAAGAAGTGCCTGCCTGGTCCAGCGTTTACAAATGCTCATGCATGTATTATACTGAGCAGAAGCACACTTAATATTAGCTATGTATGATTAATTGATTGAAGAAATTCAACTCACCTTTGCTATAAACTGAGTATTCATGTTTCAACCTTCTAAGCAACAACGAAAGTGAACTGAAGTCAAAAGGGACAGGACTGGTCCAGGAGTTCGATCCCTAGAACTCCCAGTGATCTCACCCTGCCTAGCCTCTCAATGGCTGGGCTTACCTCTCCAGGTACCAAGCCACCTCTCCAGACTAATTCATGATTTCAAGAATTCAACTACCATTGTTTTAAACAGGCTTACACATTGTACCTCATGCCACAGACTAAATATTTGTACCCACCCAAAACTACTAACTTTAATCCTAATCCCCAGGGTGACAGTATGGAGACTAAGATCTAGGCCTCTGTGAATTGATCAGTGGCCTAACGGGCCTCAGAGATCTCCCGTGTAGGAAGCAGACCCTTACCACATCACCAAATCTGTTGGCACTTTACGACTTCCCAGGATCCACAAGAGAAGAAATGGCTTTGTTGCTCATAGACTACCAAGCTTATCGTGGCTTAGGACAGTAGCAATGTGTATGAGACACTGGTATCAAGCATTTTATGAATCAATGGAGCCAAAAAAAATGTAAAAATAATTCTCACCTGATGGGGGCCGAGGGGAGCTCCTCACTTCCAGCCTTCTCTTCTTGTCGGGCTTCACAGATGCAACCAAACACAGAAACGGTTTTCTGGGGACTAAGGTAAGATATGAAAGTAACACACTGCACATTAGGGTCTCAGGCACAAACAGAACCCTTTCTTCACCCCAAACTCCAAAGCACCTTACATTAAAATGCAACTTCTTGGCCAGCGTTCCCACATGCTGCGTGGCTCACCCTCTCATGTTGTGGGGTGTACTTCTTTTCTTACTTTTACTTGGCCCACACTCCCTTTGCAGAGCCTGCTTCTTCAAGAAAACTTTGCTACCGTTTGCGCTTGTCTTGACCAATTCTTTGCTCCAAACTGAAATGACCTATGGAGTACCCTCTAGAGACTCCAGCGTTTCAAAACCCAGTAACCCAGTTGGCTTCACCAGCCAGAACAGCAGGCCCAGCAGTGAGCCGATCTTGTAAACACGTAATCCCAGACCCACACAAGCAGGCCGGATCTCAGTGACCTGCACTTCCAAGACCACTGAAGAGGTGGCTCACTGTCGAAAGCATGCAGCTGTTGGTTCATCACAGGTTACTGAGGCAAGGGCCCTTCCCCAACAATCAGTGCCCAAAACGCAGAGCTCCTAACACTGCTACCTGTGCTAGGAAGGCACAAAGCTATCCATTTATAGACTTCAACATGACTTTCTGGTGCTACGTGCCTGGGCAGCAACCCGGAAAGGAGTTTGTTAACTAACAATCTGTAAAACACAAGCAGGAGGAGTATTCCCTTTCAAATACTTCCTACTCATCAGAATAGCATGCTCTCTCTCTTCTGCCCCTCTCTCCTCTTTCCCCACCTACAAATAAGTCATCTGCTTGTATTAAAAAACAAAACAAGGCCCAAGCAGGAAATTCTACAACTCTCAGAGGTCATCTATCTTTCCAAGCAGGTCACTGTCACCCATTGCAAGGAATTCTAAAGAAACATGTCTAAAGTCCTGAAAAGGAGCAGGCTGATAAGGAAGCATGAAGGACAGCCCTACAGCTCCCAAGACCCCAGCTTTATACCCAGTTCCTGAGCAGCCATTCTGGTCCCTTAAGAGACACAGTGACAAACTATAAAAATTCTATGGGAAGTGGTCCTTCAAATTTTCACAGGGCTAAGAAGGAAGCTAGTCCTGAGAACCTCTGGAAGACCTGAAGCTCCTCTTTAGAGAGCAAGACTCCAGCACTGCTCCAGCTGCGGCTAAGCAGTCACTGCTGACCCTAACTCACCACAGCTTAAGTGGGCACCTGTATGGAGGTTCCTGCCTTTAATTAGACCTCTTATGTGGATAACTTTGCTGAGGCTGTGGCTCTCAGATTCTTGATAATTTATCTAACCTTCCTCTAAGCCATACTTTGTCCTCCACAAGAAGCACAGCAACCTACCCTGCTCCTCATATTGGGGTTCTATGTCCCCAATGTAATAGTACATAATAATAAGTTACTTTTTTTACCCTTCAAACAGACAGCTCAAGAGTCACTAACTTTTTTCTGTCTTTCTGTTTGTATTTTAGGGAAGGGTCTACAGGGTATTCAGGGTCTCACTACTAGATCGGACTTGAAGTGATCTGCCTGTTTACAGCCTCGCAAGAGCTGGGATTACAGGCGCTTGCCACCAGGCCCAGTCTCAGGGAGCCCCAGAGGCAGAGCCTGCAGGGCAGGCCCAGGAATCAAAACCTGGGTCCCTGTGCCTGCTTGTAGGCACTTTAATCTGCTAAACTATTTAGCCAGCCCTTCTGTCTTCTGACAGGTTTTTTTCATCAACCCAGCCAGTGAACCTCAATGACTGAAGGTAAATGGAGAACACATAATCCCCAGTGGTAGGGTCTATACACATTGCAACTGGAAGAAGCTACAGCAGACAGAAACCTCCACTGCCTCAGCACCCCATGAACTATTACAGGGATTTTGTATGCATCTCTCAGGAAAAATGAGAGATTAGGGTGAGGCAAACTTGGGAAGTAGGGGCAACACGTGTGTAAAGCAGTTCCCGATGCCCTGCACATGGACTCTTCCCCAGAACCTGAGCAGGTCTGATGGGATGGCCTAGAGCCAGGAGGTAGATTATAAAAAAAGGACAAGCTACACTGAGTATCTGACACTGTGTTCTCACTTGCATGTGGTCCACGCTCACACTGGAGAGTGTACTTCTTTTCCTAGTTTCCCTTGGCCCAACTCGCTCTGCAGAGCCTGTTTCTTTTCCTATCTTTAATAAAACTTTGCTACCATTATTTAAAAAATGTAAATTCTTCATGTGTGCTTCAAATTAACATAATAAAAACTTCAAGGAAGATTCACTGGAAATAAAGAAGAAAACTGTAAGAACATGAAGATGTGATCAGAAAATCAGAATATAGAAAACAAAGGGCAAGTAACAAGTTCCCTGAATAGGTGATAAGACACGGGCGCAACAGGAGTGTGTGACTTCAACAAGTGCTAAATATCCCAATCAAATGCAACCAGTAGACCTATCTGGGTCATAATTCAAGCATTGTTAAAAAAAAAAAAAAAAAATGAGGGGCCAGGGAGACAGCTCAGTAGAATAAGCGCTTGCCTGGCAAGCACAAGGGTCTGAGTTCAAGCCCCAGTTCTGCCAAAAAAGCAAAATAAAACAAACAAAACAAAATGTCAGAGCCACAGAAAGCTGAACATTATACATTTGATAATAAAACGTGGTTAGGTTTTAAAAAATTCCTAGCTTTGCGCAGTGGCAGTATCACAGCCAAAGAGGTTTATTTGAGGTACAATTATGGCTAAACATTCTTATCTTTTAGAGATCATACTGAAGGTTTACATAATAAAATACCTTCAAAATAATTAAATGGGAGAAGGGATTGTTGTAAATATTTATAAATGAACCAGCCATCTGTTGGTACTTTCTGAAACACGATGACCCAAGATGCTACTCTCAACTTCTGTATACACTTGAAATCTCCCCCACAGTAAGATGACTGAGAAATGAGGCGACACCAAGTAATCTGAACTGAACCCATTTACACACAATACTTAAACGCGTAAAGAGCTGTGGTTGAGTGTTCCACACCTGTAATCACAGTGCTTTGAGAGGCTGAGGCTGGAGGATTTCAAATTTAGGCCCAGCCTGGGCAATTTGGTAAGACCCTGTCTCAAAAGTAAGAAATAAAAAAAGGGCTTGGGATGTAGCTCAATGTGTCACTCAATCTCCCAAGTAATTGAGATTTCAGGAATCTACTCCATGCCCAGCACCGAGAGGAATTTCATTCATTCCACAACCCACCATCCTAACCCTCTGCTCAAGTTTCCTCTTATTTGCTCTTCCCACATTCTGCCCTAAGAGTTCAGGAAGTTTCAGCAGCATATTCTGTTTCCTTCCAATGCACATATATACAGACTTAGTTAACAGATACCTGGCACACAGCTCTGCTAAGGCCACAGAGATCAGCGGCAAACTCTCCCTTCTTAAAACTTGTTGGGGCTCCACATCACGAAGGGCCTCTAGGCATGCATTGTGGCTTGGGGGCAGAGTGCCCACCTTGCATGCCCAAGACCCTCAGTGCAAGGAGAAGAGGATACTGGAAGAAAAAAAAAACTAAACTACTTATTTTTCAAATTAAATATGCAAGAGCCCAGGAACTAATTTAGGAGACAGCTAAGGACACATCAAAGGACTCTGAGAAGTCAGAAAGGGGCAAATTTTGTTCACAGACCTATGTTTCACTTGAAATCAAAATTTTTATTTTTAAAAATCCAAATTTCTTTTGTTTTATTTTCTTTTGTTTATTCTTTTGCTATGTGAGACTGGACCCTGAGGCTACATTTCCATACCTTTATTATTTTTTGAGATAAGGCCTCACTAAGTTGCCCAGGATACTCTCAAACTGCATTCTTGCCTCACCCTCTCAGAAGCTGGGATTACAAGGCTGTGCCACACACCACGCTTAAAAATCCACCTTTGTTTAAAGATTTAAAGTTTTGGCAACAGTAAATTTACACTCCTGGAGCTGAGGAGATAGCTCAGTGGAGTAAGTGCTTGCCTGGCAAGTGCAAGGTCCTGAGTTCAAGCTCGGATACCACCAAAAAAAAAAAAAAAATTTATACTCCTGAATTAGAACTGGTGGCCAGATCTGAACAGGACACACCCCGAGAAACGGGACATACATCCTGGCAGCGTCCTGCTCAGCATTCCTGACAGCTGGCACTTACAGTACCTGCCCAGCACCTGAGAGTCCTTGCCTGGACTGCACCAAACACTTCTAGTGCTTCCGCGTCCACTAGCTCACACAAAAAACAAATAAGACATCTACTTGCACAGCCAGCAGATGGCAAAGCTTCACCACCAAAAGCTCAGTATGGGGTCACACTTACAATGCACTACAGCATTCGTGACACAGCAAAAAGAGCAACTCAACACGGCAGTCAACTTGGCAGGCAGAAAGAAAAAGCGCTAAGCGGTGGTTGACTGAGACGCAGAAGCTGCAGTGTCCACAGCCGTCTCCCACTCAGTCTTCTAGTTCCTCCCCAGAACAACAGCCACCTCAGACTCAACCGCAGGGAAAAAGCACTTGCAGGGACAAAAGGCATCCGAGTTTTAAATACAGAAGCTTCACTGATTAACACATTGGTAAATCCTTTGTGCTGGAGTTTGCCCTTAGGGTTTTTTCTTTGATGATAAAGCATCTTCCCCTCATTACCAGAAGCTCTGGATTAAACTCCTTGAAACGGACACCCACTCTGGTTACCTGGCAACAGCCTCAGCAACGGCAGTAGAACCATTTCTTCTTTCACCAGTTGTAGGCTCTGAAGAAAAACAAAAGCAGGAAAGAAAAGGAACAATTCAGGTATTGTCACACCTAAAACCTTCCCTCTGCTCTGTATTTTCAACAATGAGATAAACAGAAATAGTAAAATGAATCAGTAAACATAAGCAAATTTCTTATAATTTAATGTCCAAGTTTTTTCATCTCCACCAATTAATTTTCTTTCAAGTTTTCTATAGGAAATGAGTCAGTGTGGCTTAATATACAATAAATTACTAAACTGTAATATTTTAAAAATAAGCCTCTCCTGGTCATCTATCCACATAAAATATTAAAAAAAGAAATTTTTTTAAAAATTAAGAAAATAAAAAATAGGCTAGGCATGGTGGTGTTCAGCACTCAGGAGGCTGAAGCAAAACATTGCTGGAGTTCGAGGACGGCTCGGGCTACAAAGTGAATTCAAGGCCAGCCTGAACTGCAAAATAAAATCTTATATCAGTAAGAGAAAAACAGAAAGAAAAAAGAACACAAAATAAAGTTTAAATCAAAATTTTTAAATTAAAAAAATTTTTAAAGAAAAATTATTTTGATAAAATAAGATTTTAGGAGCACCCACAAATACTAAGTATCCAAGTTTTTCTCAAAGTGCTTAGGACAGATACTGATGCATGTTTCCAAGGAAGAACAATCAGCAAAATAAGGGTGATACTAAAGACTCCCATATTTTCAGAGCAATGTCATTAAAATTCATGTGTCTAACACATATTCCAGTTTTAGAAAAAAATAACCTGCAAATAGTTTTAAACTTTTGTAAAATACTTGTGATTTGTCACAAAGTAAATAGCCTGTCAAGGAGACAGTCCAGAGTTAGAGCCCCAGTTCTTTTTTTCTTCCTCATTTTCTCTTCTTTGAGACAGGGTCTCATTATGCAGTTTAGGCTGGCCTTTCACTCACTTTGTAGCTCAAGCTGGCCTTGAACTTGCAGCCATCCTCCTGCCTCAGCATCCCAAGAGTGTTGGGATTACAGGCATGTGCATGCATGACCACGCCCAGCTTAGAGCCCCATTCTGAAGAGAAACCTAGCTCACGCCTTGGCGCCCTACACTCAGGAGTCTAACCTGGGGTAGACTATGTTGTCATTCTGAGTCTCCGGTGCCTCATCTGTAGAGAGGATCTGTAGAGAGAAAACAGGACCAACCTCCTGTCTGTACTCCTAGTATCAGAAAGACACGACTACTGACTAACGGGACAACCTTAACTCTCAGCTCTGTGTAGCCCTTCCCAATTGCCATTTCAGATTTAAAGGATTCAAGATGTTAAGGGTACCCGCACATGCTTTCAATAAACCCTTTTTCATTCCCAAGAAGGTAAGGCTAGAACCATGAAATACTTCAATTCCTAATCAAAACGCATTGAGAAGCAAGATGGAGTTCTAGCTTTGGATCTGGATTCTTCTCCCTGGATTTGAATCTGGCTACTCTAGCTGTATGACTCTCAGGAAGGTGCTCAACTTTCTAGTGCCTCCGTTTTCCCTTCTGCAAACCAGTAACAGGATCTATTTCACGGGTTTGTTAAAGAGTCTTAATAGCTGGACACTTAATGTGCCTGGCATATAGTAAGAGCTGAAAATTTATTAGCTGAAATTATTTTCTTTGGTCTCAGAGAACAGGATTCATCAACTTTTTCCTCTGGTCCCTCAGCTTTAACCTATCCCTTTTGGGAGCCTTTCTTTCAGTCTGTGATTCAATCCCTGATTCCACCAAAAAGAAAAAAAAAATGGATCTTTCAGTATGTGAACTTGCTCAGGCTTCTCATAACTACAAGCATATTATCTTTGACCTTGAATTTCCCTCTAACTTGCCATATTTTCCTTTCTCACATAAACTTCTCAGAGCAAAGTCCATTTCCTGCATCCTCCTTCCCTCCTTTTCCTCTTGCCCATTTTACAGTTTTCTTTGGTACAGCTCCCACCCCAACCACAACACTGAAATGGTTCTCGCTAAAGTCATCAAATGGATCCTACTGCCAAATCCAAAATCCTTTTTCAGACACATCTCACTGCACTGTGGCTCCTACATCTGACACTGTTATCTTCTGTGTCTCTCCTCTCCCCAGGCTTCCTACTACCGCAGCTTCTCCTCTCAAATGCTCCTTTCCAAACTCTTTTGTAGGACTTCTTCCTCTTCAAACTTAAGCAGCACTGACAAATAACCTACTGGAAAACCTACAAGTTTTACAATTAGATATGACTCAAATTCCAGCTCCTTGTCTTCCCAATTATTGTGACCTTAGGCAATAACCACTTAAGTCTGTTTTCTGTCAGTAAATGGTAATGTGATTGCCTATTTGGAGCATTTTTATGAAATGGATGTAAAAAATTATCCTGTATTTCCCTTTCCCCTTATTTCCATGTTCAGCCAGCCCCATGGTTCTGTTCCATTTACTTCACATTCATTCCTGACCTCCAACGCCATTATCAACCCCATTTCCTGGTTAAAGACTGAGCAGAGTTTTGCTAGGCAGAAGAACAGGAAATGGATTGTGCAAAGAATAAAACTGTCATGCACAAACGCACATTTTAAAAGTTTGCTTCTTTCAGTTTAAAGAAGCAAATCAGGCCCCACAGCTCCCCTACCTCAAGTTCTGCTTCTCAGCACAATACCAAAGGCTTCAGGAACTTCGTCCCTACTCCTCATCACCTCTGTGTGCCTCCTCTGTGTTCTAGCAGCACTTAGCAAACTGCCATCCATGTGGAAAACAGGCAACAATAATCAACACTGAAAACCACAACCTTGAACTTGCTGCTCTCTTCTGAACTACCTCTGTACATGAAAACCAATTACTTAAACAGACACAGGTTTAATATGGAGACACAAGTCAAGTAAGTGTATAAAATATCTTCAGTACAATGACAGAGATTAACCAAACATAATGAATGAAAACTACATACAAGGGCCAGCGAGATGGCTCAGTAGAATAAGCGCTTCCCTGGCAAGCACAAGGGCCCTCAGTTCAATCTCGAGTTCCGCCAAAAAAAAGAAAGAAAACTATATATATTATTAAAGTAACTTTTTTTTTTTTTGGCATAACTGGCCCTTGTGCTTGCCAGGGAAATGCTTATTCCTCTGCGCCATCTCCCTGGCCCAAAAGTAACAATTATTAAAAAGTCACTGATACTTCCCAGATGACTTGGAGCTACTAATTACCCAAGATGAGCATGAAATAAAACTTACTTTCCAGGCTAAATTGCAAAGACTCTTCACTGGCCTCTGTCTCGGGACTGACCAGTTTCATTCTTAGAGACAGTTTCTCATCCACTTCTGGGGCAGCCCCAGAATCCCCTTTCTCACTCCCAAGTATGGCATCGTTGGTCTCTACCATGCTTTCAGACATGACAACACTGGTTGTTATGGCATTTTCTGGATAGTTGCTGATGCCTGAAAGAAGGGAGGCAGAGAAGAAGAAAGAAAGAGCACTGAAATACAAACAGTAAAAACAGCGAGGCTAGGTCATCATCAATTTGCCTGTTTGGCTCCACCACTCTGCAGGATTGAAGGGGTCCTAGGATAGATCCTGTCACAAGTATCAACAACTACGAACTAGTATTATTAACACCTGGTCTTAGAGGAGCAACAGGATTCAGATCCACTTCTGCATCTGGACAAAGGATGCTGCATGAGCCCTCAGCCAACCCACATCTGCCAGCATCAGGCATAGGTAGCAGGAGACTCCAGACGGCATGACTGTTACCTCCCAGCACTGACTAGAGAAAACAAACAGGTTAACGTAGAAGTCTACTGGCTGCAGCAGACTGACTGGTTAGCCAGGGTACTGAATAAATAGTACTTCTACCCTATATCTTTCTCTCCCCCTTCCTTATAAAATAGTCCGTATCACTGCCTGGCAGAGATTCTACTGCTTTGCAAGTAATATGATAGAATCCAATTCTTCTCCCTCTTCCTTCCCTCCACCCTTTCTTTCCTTTCATGATCTCTTGGCTCAGGAGAGTAAAATCATATAATCAAATCATATAATCAACCAGGCTTCCACAGCGCTATTCTGAGATGAAAATCAACCTTATCAGTCAGGCCCAACTCCTCAGATCTAAAAATACCGCTTGCTTGAACAATGACATCTTAGAATGCCTGCCTTAAATATCACCATTTTTATTCACTCACCAATAGGAGTACTATGTCTCTTGGGCTCCAATTTTAGGTGCCCAATGAGAGGTGGGGTTGCGCCAGTCAATGGTGGGATAATATCACCTTCTTTAGGCAAAGTGAAATGAAATGGGGTTTCTGAAATAAAAAAAATGAAAACAAAACAATGACAAAAAGCAAATCAAACACATATAAAATAAACAAAAATGAAGAAAACTGCAAAAAAATATTTCAAATGCTCTTTTCTTTTGCTCTCAAATTCTCCTACTCGGATCACTTTCACCAGGCTTCCAAACCATTCCCTCTGTTGTCTCTGCTCTCTTTATGCCCTGACAAGACTGACACAAAGCAGATAAGCAGATGGGCAGACAGGAAGCCCACGGTATGGGGGGGCCTGAGGAAAAAAGGGCAAAAGGAGCCCAAGAACATCTGGCATTACGACAGCAGACCTGGGATACGGAGGAACACACACTTGGATGATTTCATGGTTTCAGAGCTAAACCGTACCGCTATAATCTGGCACAGTGCTATCCCGAGGAGTCCACTTAAAGTCTTAGCACTCTCTAGGATTCGCCAAAAAGTTGATGTTAGTACACAGAATTTACAACCAAATGAAGCATTGACAAAGGAGCTCATGGGCCAAAAGACTTCAAAATACTCGTTGGTTCTAACCTAGAAAATCTGTTTTTGGGGGTTCAGCAGTACTAATCAGCACTCATGTTATACCAAAGGAGCGATGTCTATCTTCACAGCTCTACACAGCAGTCAACCCTACATAGGCAAGCACGCCCAACGTATACATTTTGATTAGTTGTTCTTAAGTTATTACAAACATAAAACATTTGTCAACAAATGAAGCTACTTTTTTAACTAGGTTCTTATTCCACATTCTCATTAACCAAAATCAGCAAATTGCCAACATCACATTCTCTGGCTTCCTATCTCCTTTCATAAAATGGACTCGGGAGAAATGAGAACCCTGCCAGGTTGGTCTCTTAAGCTTAATATATGAAAGCTGACATTACTTTCCTAGATAACTCTAAATAACTATAATCTAATACACTCAGTCACCACTAGCTAAGAAAAGAGTGTTTCTTTCTTCACTTGTACTTTTATTATTCGGTGATGCCAACATCTTGATACTTCTTTCCTTCAAAATCATAAAATAACAACAAAAATAAAAGTCTCTTACATCTATGAGAAAAAAGTGAATTAGTAATCAGAGGGAATGAGAAGTCTCTGGAAAATGAAATAGTCTCTGGAAATAAAGGATGAAAATACACATGCTCAGCTAAAAAACCTACAGAACTGGACTGGAGAGCTTCAAAATGAATTTACTGGCACAGATGTCCTCCACAGTTAAAGAGAAACATGCCAGGCAGACAAGCATGCGTTCTCTGGTGACTCCTTATAAGGTAAATTTTTTAGGCTAACGAAGAACTCAAGAGATACACAAACTATGAAAACAAAAGCAAAGTATCTCACAAAGCTGTACATAATACACTCCAAAGATCAATTTAATAGGATTTTCATTCCTGGAAGAATCAGGAATAAAAGACTGCCCATCCACTGCTTTCTTGACGGGAACCATCCCTCATCTTATAATCCAAACTTCTAAACATCTGTTTGAAATCTCATGCAAATGTAACATGTAAGCAATATTACTGAAAATTATTTGCTGGTAAAAGTGTGTCCTTTGCACAATACTAGGTAGGATCTACAATTAAAACCCTATAAGGCGCAGGGGCTGGGGACTCGATCTGGGGTCCTGCCATGCCGCCCTGCCCCAGGGGAGCACTGAGACTGGGCGTGGTAACGCAGACCTGTAATCCCAGCTCTTGGAAGGCTGTAAACAGGCGGATCACTATGAGTCAGATCTAGTAGCAAGACCCAGAACACAGTGGTGGCAAATCTATGGCACGCATACTGTAAAGGGCCATTTGTATTACTGAGAGTTCTAAAAGGTTTGACATCACTGAACAGAAAGCTGAGATTTTCCCTGCCACTGCCTAAACCCAGCCTGCAACACCCCATTCCCAACTATCACAACAGCCTGTCCACCATTCTCTCTGCCTCAAGTACCCCGTGCTCCCCGGCCCCCTTCTCTCTAAACACTGCAACCAAAGCAACCTTCTTATGAAACATGGCTTGGACCAAGTTGGCTCTTTGTCAAGTCTTCAAGGCGTCCCCTGGAAGATAAATTCTGAATTCTTTAGTCAACATTCAGTAAACTAGTAGCAGCCTGTATCTCCCTTCTTTCTTTAATTATTCATGTTCATGAAGCCTCCATTCAACATCCCACAAACACTTTCCCATTTCCCTGTTCTGTTTACTCACCTGAAAAATCACTACTAAACTAGTCAAAATATCACCAAATCCTGCAAAGTACATTTACTGGATCTTTTTTTTTTTTTTTTAATGGTGGTTAGATGCCATGAAGTGGCAAAGTCTTAACTGTTTGCCTGTTATCAGGCCCAAGGGCCTCTTTCATCCTTGTCTCCTTCCATACAACACTGGAATATTTTATCCTTTTAAATTTACTAGAATTTCCTAACTACTCAGTTCTCTAACCGACACCTCAACATTTCTCACTTTTCCAGATTATTATGGGTTGGCCTATTTTATGTCAACAATGTCAACCTATGAAGATATAGATGGAAAAAACAAAAGGAAATTTAGTATCAGTTGTCAAACCATCTATGTAGGAATTTATCCTTACTACTATGGACTTCAAAGGATTCTACTACAAAGCAATGTTTACAACTCTTAAATCAGGAAGGTATCTCTTAAACTTAAGCTATAAACTTCTTATAGTTTAAGCCCATTTTTTTCTTTAAAAAGTGGTTCTTCCTCCTGCCTCCCTTCCTCCTTCTCTGAGACAGGGTCTAGCCCTGCAGTTGAGGCTAGCCCTGAGTTGAGAAGCTCAGGCTGCCTCATCCTCCTGGGTTCCAGGATTACACACAGGCTCCATCATACCAGGCTCTGGTCACTTATTTTGATTAACGAAAAAACATCTAATTAAAAATAGGTATTTCTATATTGGATGACACTATAAGCAGTCTAAATGTCTGCCTCTGACATTAGTAGCCAGTTCGGGTGACATTCCACCAACTAAGCCAACAAGGATCATATACCCAGAGTCCGAACTATATGTAGCTTCTCTGATTATTATTAACTACTACCAACTTCCACTTTGGATTTAAAGCTTTACTGAACTAGATATAGTTTTTCACATCATCAACCCACCATGAATCTGCTCTGTGCTGGGTGAGGCTGCACATCCAATACTACTGCTTAACTCTGCTTCTGTCAGGTTTAGGAGCGGATCTCCATACACAGGTGTCTGTAGAAGTCACAAGTCCCCTACAGAGGATAGTGGCCCCATTCTGTCTCGACTCTATCTTCCCACTATTCCTACTCTCTCTTCTACCCACTTCCAGGCCCCTTTTCCTGTACTGTTTCAACATTTCTCACACTTGTTTGTTTTTTTTGTTTGTTGTTTTGAGAGAGGCTCTCAATATGTAGTGCAGCCTGGCCTTGAAATTGTGTGATCCTCCTGCCTCAGCCTCCCTGGTACTAGGATTACAGGCATGCAACACCATGCCTGCCTAAGCAGGTTATTTTTTAAATCAATAATGATATTAAAAAAACACAAAAGTAACTTCTAATTAAAAGTATCCAGAAATCTAACAAACCTGGGGCTCACCTATTTATACCTTTTATTCTGTCTTTTCAAACTCTAGAACCATTAATTTTTAGATTTTTTTTTTTTTCCTTTCAGAACCAGGGATTGAACTCAGGCCCTTACGCTTGCCAGGCAAGTGCTTATTCTACTGCTCCATCTCCCCGGCCCCCTAGAACCATTAATTTGTTTATATTATTCTCATTTAAATATTCTCAAAGTTAGCAACTACATTAATTTTAAGTACAGGTAATTTTTTCCGTTCTTTTTGTAATGTTCTGAATGATTTATTTTAATCCTCTAAATCCTTTAATCCTTCCTCCTTTGTACTGCAACTTTTTTTTTTTTTTGAGGGAAGGGTCTACAGGGTGTTCAGGGTCTCACTATTAGATCAGACTCGCAGTGATGCGCCTGTTTACAGCCTCCCAAGAGCTAGGATTACAGGTGCGCCACCACACCTAGTCTCAATTGCTGTCTCACTGCGCCTCGGGCGGGGCTGGCAGAAGACCCTGGGATCAAACTCCAGGCCTCCGGCCTGCTTGCAGGTGCGTTAATCCTCTGAGCTATTTGGCCAGCCCTTGAACTGCAACTTCTAGCTAAAACTATTCTAACTCCTCTGATAAATACTATTTTCCAATCATTGTCTTCATTGATTTTTGTTGTCTGTTTACTAATTAAAACCTTTTTTTTTTTTTGGTACCTGGATTGAACTCAGGACTTTATACTTGTCAGGCAGGATTAAGCCACTAGGCTATTTCCCAGCCCCTAAAATCTTAAAATAGTAAACAAAACACTTATTGACATCTTCAATTATTTTACTATGGCAGTGTCTATAACAAAAAACAACTAGCTTCCATGTTAATAGCATTAATTAAATTCATGAAGAATACTGTTAATGTAACTGAACTAAATTAGTATCTGTCGTTTAGAAGCTTCTTTTGCATTGTTAGGATACTTTAAAAATATTACTGGGGCTGGGGCTGGGGAGATGGCTCAGTGGAATAAGCACTTCCCTGGCAAGTGCAAGGACCTAAGTTCAATCTCCGGTTCCGCAAAA